GCATCGCAGCTCACAGCAACCTCCAATTGGGCTAAAGCGAGTCTCCTGCCTCCGCCTCCCAAGTAGCTGAGACCATAGGTGCCTGCCACAACACCTGGCTTTTTTTTTTTTTTTTTGGTTGCAGTCATCATTGTTGTTTGGTGGGCCGGGGCTGGATTCGAGCCTGCCACCTTAGGGGTGTATATGGCTGGCACCTTAGCCCCTTGAGCCACATGTGCTGAGCCTTTTTTCCTTTTTTGAGACAGAGCCTCAAGCTGTCACCCTGGATAGAGTGCTGTGGCATCATAGCTTGCAGCAACCTCTATCTAACTCCTGGGCCGAAGCGATTCTCCTGCCTCAGCCTCCCAAGTAGCTGGGACTATAGGCACCCACCACAACGCCCGGCTATTTTTTGGTTGTAGTTGTCATTGTTGTTTGGCAGGCGTGGGCTGGATTTGAACCCACTAGCTCCAGTGTATGTGGCTGGCGCCTTAGCTGCTTGAGCTACAGGCGCCAGGCCATTTTAGCTATTTTATGTAGGGGTGGGGACTCACTCTTCCTCAGACTTGTCTTGAACTCAAGTAATCCTGCCTCAACCTCCCAAAGTTTTAGGATTACAGGCACAAAGCCCCAGTATTTTTAGAAATGGGGTCTTGCTCTTGCTGATATTGGTCTTCCAACTCCTAAGCTCAAGCAGTCCACCTGCCTTGGCCTCCCAGAGTGTTAGGATTACAGGCATGAGACCCTATGCCCAGCCCTGAATAATTTTTCTAATTCTAGTAGAGACAGCTCTTGCTCAGGCCGGTCTCAAATTCCTGAGCTCAAGTGATCTTCCTGGCTCGGCCTTCCAAAGTGGTAAAATTATAGGCATGGGCCACCATGCCCAGTCTCCAACTAAGGATTTTTTTATGGTTTGTTTCATTTGAAGTCTTATGACAGAAGCAGGGCTAGATCACTGTATTTGCTATTTCCTTTGCTTCTGCACATTGAAGCCTGATTTCAGTGATATACCTCTGTTCAAAATACATATGAATATTATCTCTCCTCCCTCAATTCAGACTAAACTCTCTGTTTGAAATTTGTCACGTACTAATTACTTGGCTAATTTGCTTTTCTATCCTAGGTGGCAATATAGGGGGGATGGAATGTTCACTGCCAAGCCTGTAGAACTTTTCTCTGAGCTCTGTCCTTGCATGCTTCCAAACAGCTCTCACCCACACCCCAATACTAAAGAGGCATATATTTCATTTTCTGTTTATTTATTTGAGGTAGAGTCTTACTTTGTCACCCTGGGGAGAGTGCCATGGTGTCATAGCTCACAGCAACCTCAAATTCTTGGGCTTGAAGAGATCCTCTTGCCTCAGCTACTCCCCTAGCCTCCTGAGTAGCTAGGACTACAGGTGCCTACCACAACATCCAGCTCTTTT